TATCGAAAATTGGGGAAAAAAAGGGAAACTTGACTTTTTAATAGGAAAGGAAGTGGAATGCTACTGCAGAGAGCAATCTAGGATGCCTTAAACAGGGAAGACACCCTGACAGTACACTGTCATCAGCCAGAGGGATTAATCCTGATGATAAAACTGTCCTGGAGTGTCCCGGAGCAGGAGTCATGGGCCCTGAAACCCTTTCCTGTCCCTGAGTGGGCTGAGCTGCTCAACACCTTACCCCGTTGCACTGCTGTGACACCTTACACCGTAGCATTGCTCTCACACTACACAATGAAACACGTTTACTCCTGCAGGTGAAGCTGAAATTTTTCCATGTATTCCTCAGTCCACATTGGGCWACAAATATGTGTGAACTAGGAGAAATTAATTTGCCATAACTCATTTGGAATGAGGAGTTAGATGAGAGGCCATCCCTTGCAGACCCCGGCATGATTTTACCATCAGATGAAGGGACATCTTACCACTTAAGAAACATCTGCATATKGCTCAGTTAAAATAAAACATATTAAAGAAAAAAAATGCAGATTCAGGATTCTTATAGGCAGAGCCCACAGCTGGTCAGAGGCTGCCTCCCCTGGCAGGCACAGCAGAACCAGACAGGTCCTTAACACAGTGACAAGGCTCATAGGCAGAACGACGTCTCCTGCGCCTCAAATCCTGCCCACCGTAGGAGGCTTTGAGGACACAGCCTCACTTATGATCTCCAGGAATTAACTTGGATAACAGGAGATGCTGGGATGTGCAGGCAGAGGGATTATTTCTCTACTGTCAACTTTCCACCGAGGAGGGAAAGACATGGATGAGGAACCCATGCACGGACAGATGAACCCCAGGGCTGGGCTCCGACTTCTGCAGAGGTCACCGCCGTGGGGCTCCCAGCCGGAGAGTGAGTCAAGGGGATGCAGGGCAGCATCCGGACACTTGAGTTTCCCGGGAGGGAAACTGGCTACAGAGCCCCATTTCTCAGGCAAGCAACTGAAATGGTGACGTGAAATGGAGCTGGTCACGATGTGACCCTCTCTCAGGCTGTCTCCCATGGCTGTGCTTGCCCTCCCCACAGTGCAAAGCTCAAAAATAACCCCCCTGAACTCAGGCAATGGAATGTAGGAATGCCCACAGAGGGAATGCATGTGTGAATTACCACTTGGAAATAGGAACTATTGTTTTAAGCTTTGTTTTGCTCAATTATTCATTATTTATTATTTAAATTATGCATGCAGAAAACCTCGAGTACTTCTGATTTCCTTCAGGCATTGTAGACTCTAAGGCATGGTAAGAAGGTTAGACAGTGAAGTGTCTCCTTTTCCATTAGTCTTAAGAGAAACATAAATTACAATTCAGCGTTATTATTTTCTGCCTCTTTATATAATATTTTTAAGTCAATTGAGTACAATTACTTCATACCTAGAATATTTATTGCTGCATAAAACCTTCTTGTCTGACAAAGAAAAGGCACTGAGGCACTTTTCTCAGTAACAGTATTATTAAACATTTTTGATGATCCTTTTTTGAAAACATACTTTACCTTTCAGCTCCTCACAAATTACTTTGGCAGTGATTTGGGAAAGCACTTAATGCGTCCCAATGTGCTTCCTTGAGCGGGGAGAAACTTTGCTTAAGTGCTTTTCCGAACCAAATCTTGCCCTGTTTATCTGTCCATTTATCTAAATGTAAAGTATGGATTACTTGGATGCCTCCAAACATTTTGAAACAAAGCCATACAAAAGCAGCATCTACTTCACTCCCTCACTCTCCCCATCTGCACCATCGAAGCATCTTAACACCTTCCTGCCCTGCCCTTGCTCGCCACACGGACCAGAGGAGACCCAGCTCGTGCCCTGCTCTTGCGGGAATTACTCGTATTCCTCATGTGGGAATTACCTGTATTCCTTGTCACTGGCTGCCCAGTGGGGCCCAGGCCTGCTGCTCTTGGCTCCTGCAGACCCTGCCAGCAGCTTGGTGGCTCTCAGGGGTCTCAGGGACACTTTTTAACGTGTCTCTTGTGAGAATTTGGTGTCTCTGAAGTCTGACCTTCCCTTAGGAAACTGCTGTTATCTAACGGGTTCGCTGCTCTTAGAGTAACTGGCAAATGATGTGTGCATAGAACTCCTCTTTGCTTATAGAAGCTGTGGGGAAAAAACATAAGGATAGCGCATTTTTGAGTAATTGTAAGAAATCAATAGCTAAAGAAGTCAACAATACAACAAATGAGTTTTATATTATTACCCAACTATTCTTAAGCCTTTTTTTCAGCACTGGTCCAGATCATGGAACATTTTACTCATCAGATTATAAACTGTTTTGCAGCATGAATAATTTGCAAAGCCTCCCAAAATAATACTTTCTTTTAGGTTGACCCTTGTCATTGTCAGAAGAAGAATCTTAAAGAAGAATCTGTTAATTTTAAATAAATAATCAAAAAGAAATGACTATTAGAGGAAAGTAAATCCAATATTCTTAGGAGAAAACTAAATGCTAGCTCTTTAGCTCCTGTAAATTATTGTAGCTCACAGAATGGTCTTGATTTACAGCAGCTAAAGACATTGTTCAATGTTCTTATTATTAAGAATTGAAGAAAGCAGTTTACATTGTTATAAAGAGGTCCATCGCTTCGGTGCAATGTATATAGCATAAAAAGTATTAAAACATAATACCCAAGAGGATTGCATATAAAAAGATTATAGGAATATGGGATAAAAATATTGTGTAACTAATTTATTTATAAGGACATATTGGCACAGCTTCTGCTTTTGTGGTACATCTAGGAAATATTTRCAACATAAAGGCCAAAGTTAAACTATGGTAAAAGTTAAGCTATGAACAGCTAGCTAATCGTTGCCTAACAATGAAAACAAAAAGCTCACTAACCCATTTATCTGGGGTATCTGGGAACTTCCATGTGGTTCACCACCATCAATAAAGTCTCTGCACTGTTCTGAAGCTTCAGTTGTTGGGCTTCCTGGTCTCAGGTCAGATTCCCTAGCTGTCTGCATCTATCACTGTTAATTCATGACTAAGAGAAGTTCACAAAAATATATTTGTTGCTGCCTCAATAATTTCCATCAACCAAATTCYATTATTTTCTTCCAAGACATATTTCCTATGACTTTATCTTTCTCTCTTTGTCTTTTAAATATACAGCTACCACTTTTATGGTTTTATACAACTATATGCACTTTCTACCAAAATAGTTTTACTTTATAACTACATTTTATAGGTGCCTCCATGTCGTTTATTACAATTCCTCCTCCTGCAAAGCTGTCTTTTTATATCCAAATAAACTGACTGATATTCTGGAAACCTAGCCTTAAATTCTCCAAAATCCTTCCACGGCATTTTTAGTCATGTAAGAATTATTATAGGGAACACAAGCAGCCTGCACTCCAGAGTTTACTGTCAGTGTGCCACAAATTACCAAACGATTGGTCTTTTCCCCTCTTCCGAGTGAACTGCAGTGAAAATCTATATCCTTATACAGGGAACAGACAACAGCAAAAGACATATTATTTTTTAAAAGCCTACYACTTAACTACACTTTACAAGCTGTGTTCAGACAGCTGTTAGCCAGTTTAAAAATAAACCATCTCTCTGGTGACCTCCACCTGTGCATGGCTGGTGACTTGCATTTAGCACCATGTATCAAAATGCCTAAAAATAAGTATACCCAGGGGTAGCTTCTGGCACCATTTTTTCTCTAATGAGGAGGGAAGTGAGAGCTGCAAGTTCATAATATGATATATAGTCTACAAGAGCTTAAAACAATTCTCAGTGCGAGGCACGTATAATGAGGCACATTATACAATTAGCGCTTCTATTGCTACCATCACAGGAAGGGTGAATGAGTAGTTTTGGTGCTCTTCCTGATGCACTTTCATGAATATTATTAGTATTGCCATTATCATCATCATCACAGCAAGCTGCTAATTTTCACATGCCCAAAGGCAAACAAGTCATTACTTACTCATCAACAAACCTACTCGCCCCAGATACACAGGTAAGCAGATTTTCGCTGTGCTGATCACTGACAGAACCTAGGGCCTTCCTACAGTTGGAACATAACGGGATCCTTAACATTAGCACTTTTAGTAAATACATAAATACTTTTTCTAAGTACAGCTCTGCTACTCAAAACTCCAGTTTTGCRATTTTAGTTCCTGCGCTACATCAAACAGTCCAGCTACACTTGCAATGTCACTGCACAGTAGGTGAAAACATTTCTGGAACAAATGTCAGCAAGGGATAATTTTGAAATAACCTTGTGATCTACAGTAACACAAGCCAGAAGATAACACTGCTATAGATTGCTTTGCTATTTGCTGGCATAGTAAATATTTGTAGATGGGGGAGAAGAGAGTTGCAGAAATAAGCAACGGAGCTGTTCTCTTTTCTCATACTTCTCATAAAGGACTGCCCTGAACATGAATTTGAAATAAGGGGGGTGGGGAAAAGGTCCAAAGAAATGCTCAAAACCAGATTAAAAAAAAAAAAAAAAAAAAAAAAAAAAAAAATTATGAGGATACCTCACTTAAGGAAGTGGCACATACAGATGTTGAAATATAGTAGAACATGCTGTATGTATGGCTATAGAACAAGAATACTAAAGAAAATGGGTCCACTTTCATCTTGCCTTTCAGTTGTGAAACTGATGAATAGATGGAGGAGTGTTTTTGTCTTTCAAAAACGAAATCAAATGGAAAGACGTGGAAAATGACAGGACGTAGACCCCAATTCTCATGAACCACTGGAACCACTGATGCAGGCAGTCAGAGCATACACTGGAGGTCAAGCAAAGATGTGTTGTTGTGCCCTGCTTAGCGCGGGTTGGTCATGCGACTGTCAGCAGAAGCTGAAGTCCTCACCAGAAGCACTGCAGCATCCTGCACAACACACTAAGCCGCAACATCAGCTGACCCAGACTTGCAACAAATAAATGACATTCCTGCTACACAGACAGCTGAGAGGGCAGTAACAGAACTTACCATCTTGGTCGGTGGTAACTGTGATAGCCGTGAACTGCTTGGGTGAGAAACTCAGCTCGGAGACGCCRTTCATGGCCTCTATTTCAAAGGTGTAGTTCACATGCGACACGAAGTCCAGCACCGTCACGGAGGAGTTGATCAGACCGGTGTGGCGCGGGATGAAGCGGATCCCTCCTCCACAAATCTCGCACTGGCTGGTGTCCGACCCRCACTTTTTGCAGATGACGCTGTACGTGAGATCTTTCCTTCCTCCGGTGTCACTCGGGGGGCTCCATTCCAACATGAGAGCTGTTTCGTTAATGTTAAAGATTACATTTCTCGGAGCAGAGGGTGGCCCTGTGGAAAAGGAGGGGAAAGTCTCTTAAGCTGTGGACCACAAACATAAGGCAATTATTTGCAGACAGAAGCTAAGAGTCATGGTTCAGTAACAAATTCAAAGAGAATTACCTAAATTACCTAAATCCATGAAAAATATGCAGAAAGAATAAAGAGCAGAAATCATACAGAGCCAAAAAATATAAATAAAGTAGAAAGAACTCTGAAATAATTTAAGACAACATAAAAAAAATATTTGGGAAAGTCAAAGCTAGACATCATAACAYCCCAAAATTATATTAAATACCCATTAACTTGTGGGGTACTGGGCTAGATATCATAACCCCCAAGAATGCATTAAATACCCACTAATTTGTGTGAAACTGGGAATACTTTTAATCACAAAGTTTATTTCCTTGTTTTACGTCTAGTGAAGGAGGCTTTGCTGATATTTGTAATTTTTAATGTTTTGTAAGAATTAAGAGCCCTGGCACAGGCTGCCCAGAGAGGCTGTGGAGTCTCCTTCTCTGGAGATCTTCCAAACCCACCTGGATGCCGCCCTGTGCCCCGYGCTCTGGGTGTCCCTGCTGGAGCAGGGGGGTTGGACTAGATGATCTCTAGAGCTCCCTTCCAACCTTAATGATTCTATGATTAAGCTGATTTAGCCAGTAAATAGATAACAGCTTTAGAATAAATACAAAAAAAAGAAAATTGATGGATTTATTCTGCAATCTTTCTCTGCTGTGCTGCCCTGGGATTTCTTTGCGGCTCTTCAGTAAGAGAGCTGGCAACGGGCTAAGAGCATTAGGCACAAGAGACAGTTTACCAGTTTTGCCTTCCCACAGGGACACTCACAAGAGCATTAGCCTAAGAGTGAAGTCATCATCCTTGCAAGCTACAGATGCAGGAGGGTGGGGGCAAAACAGAAGAAAAGCAATTCTTGAAGACCATAGGCATAGGGAGGAATACAAAGGTAGTAGCAGCAAACAGGAGAAAAAGGCTCCCATGAAGGAAATAGGTGACAAATCTCTGTGCATGCTTCTGGATGTCCACACTTCTTATGGACCCACATTAGTCAAGGTATGTCCAGCAAGTCCTAAGCCATTAAACTGACTGGCTGCATAGGTTCACGTGTAAATCATCCAAGTTTCCATAGTCTGTGGAAGAACTTTAATGACTTTCCAGTGAGAATTAAGGGATAAAGGAAAGGCAAGAACTACTAAAGGAAGCATGTATAATCTGTCTCCAGTTCCCGTCCTACACTGCTTCTTAAACTCACTTTATTTAGCCAAGCACTTACAGACACAAGGCTTTCAAGCATAATTTGAAGACACAACAAAAAAACACTCACAGAAATCTTGGGGATCTGGCAAAATGCCAGGCCCTACGCTACAAGTTTCAAGTATATAGGATGTCAACAGTAAACTTTGACTAGTAATCGCTGATTTTTACTCTATAGAGTTGACTGAGCGTTATATTCCCAGTGCTCAGCATAAAAACCACAGTGCACTTGGATTGTTTAGTGAAGGGTTATCAGAGCTTTGAAAAGTTTAATCTCGCCTTGCAGGTTTCCATGATTTATAGAGCCTGCAAGCAAGTTTTAACTCTGAAGTTTTGATTGAGATACTGTTTAAACTTTGAGTGAGACTCTAAGGGAACATTTTATTGCCTTTGGGATTCCAAGGCATATTGAAAGACTATCTGAACCATTTGCAAATCGCCTCAGATAATTCTTAATAGAATATATTTCATTGAAGAGATTGACTGGCACATCGAGTCCATTCTGAGAGTCAGATAAGTCAAATATCATGCTGTCCTTAATAAAAACTGTGATCAGAAAAGAACCAAACATAAAACTCCCGATAACACCTTTGCAAATTCCAGTTCAACAATTYGTAGCATGAGGCCTAGTCCTTGTGTCTATAGCCTGTCAGATAAATCAGACCTTTGCTTCAGCAAGGAGACCTGCATGATGACTGTAACACAGCTTGTCCTAACGCTTGACAGATAAATCAGGATCTCCYATCTCAGCAAATGAAGGAAGTGTTATAATCATCTTTTACAATTCATTCAATTCCATTTTTTTTTTTCTCTTAAGATAAGCAACAACTACAGCTCTGGTGCTCTGACTTCTAAACTTTTATCTATTGGACAGAACACACAAAACAACCCTTAGAAAATCATGCTCRTAAATAGCTTTGAAATGCATATCCACAACTGAAATAATAATTCTGTTTAGTTGTGTTCTTATATTTTAAAGACTCTGAATACTGAATACTGAATTCTGAATACTGAAGCAGAATATACCTTAACAGAAAACATTCACATATGTTTTATCTCACTGAGAAATTATACTGTGGCAAAGGCCTAAAGAACTATCACTTCATATAGCAGCAAGAACTAATGCAAATTGTAATTAAGGGGCAAATTAAGTCATTTTAACCAAAAAATAGTAATTTAAAAGTGATCTTAGGTGATGACTTATATGGCCACTTATAAATGTGGGCGTAAAAAGCCAGAAAGCTTGCAAAGCAACAAAATTGTGTATGGAGTCATGTTTGTTATGTGAACTAAGTAAACGTTAAGCTTTCCTGTAAGACGTAGAACATCCAAATTATTTCTTTCTTTCAGATATTTACTTGCAACTTTAAACAACTGAGACTATTGTTTTATTAGAATGATGCTGTAGTTAAAGTATCAAGGAATCATTTAGATGAAAAGTATCATGGCTCATTTGCCCTAGCAATCAATATTTCTGGATCCTGGCAGAAGATATTTATTGGTATATTTTGCAGGTTTTACAGATACATAGAATATTTTGGATATTCCTTTCCTGGCCTTTGACCCAGATATTGTAAAAATGTTGACACATTTGAAATTCTTTAACCTGGAAGTATTTATAAATGTCATTTGTTAACAAAGACTAATTATATAATACATAGTTTTCCAGTGGAACACAGATGCTTGGTAAAGCCTTGAGGATGTTGATGTGGTCCAGAAACACCAAGCACTCTCGAGTGTCTCAGTTCATTAATGTACAACCATGGCAGTAACACAGTTTCCTCAATTCCCCTTAAAATTATGGAGAATTTTGACTTCTATCTACTCTGAAACCCCTTAGCCTCCTTAGATGGCAATAGGCTAATACTAACACTAAAACTTCAGTTCTCAATATTTATGTGCAGATGAAAGGAATAATTATGTTTCCCTTAAAAACATGCTGTGAGAATTAAATAATGACTAGTCTTAACAAATTCCCACTGCTAAAACCAATGAGAAATTTTAGCAATATGGAGGATGAGATTTAATCACATTTACATATGTGCATAACTTCAAGCAAATCAGTAATCCCCTTGAAATAATTGGTAATACTCATGCACTTAAAACTAAGCGTGTGTGTAATTGCTCATAGGATTGGAGCCAATGTTTTAAAACTGGCTTAATCCTAATAAAGCTATAGATATTATGACAACGGGTCATCCTAGCTCAGTTTTTATATGCTACCTTGATCACCTTTGTAAGTCCACAGTATAGGAATCATTCTGGATACAGGTGATAAAGAGCTTCCTCTGTGCCTAGCTTTGTCTATTTGAATTTTATACTAGATCTTTACTATTATATACAGATGGCATCAATATGGTAGACAAAACACATATTTTTTTCTCCTTCTCTCTTTTTTTTTTGGTTTGTACTAGAGAATGAAAGGTGATATATTTATGATTTCAGACTTAATTGTCAATTATAAAAGAAAACTTGAATTATTAAACATTCAGATTTGAGCAAGCAGGGAGAACATTATCAATTATGTTAGGGGTGTCTGAAAAAAAATCTAACTGTCCACCTGCAAATACTGAAAAAATAAATCTGAGACACCCTTCATACTCAAGGCCTCTCATGCCAATTTGCATGACGATTAAATAGCTTTTTAATTGCTGTTAAATTATGCCAGTTAAACTGTGATTTCATGCAAATATTAAGCTGTAATGACATGCAGTGAATCATTTACTAAGATTTAGAACTTGGAACAAAGAGAGACAATTAATTCTAATCCTCAGATTCAGCTAAATTATGTGTCACTGGGCTTTTATGAATGTGGCCTGATTRCTTTGTTATCATTTATGAATTATACAAAGATCATTTGACACACTGAAAAAAACTTGGCAGCAATAACCCTTCTGCAGACATCTGTGTGCAAAGCTCTCTGGGATTTCCTTCCGTTGATTCTTAAGGAAAACAAGCATTTTTTTTGTGTGTGAAAAATGATGGATCCTTTCCTCACAGAAAATTTCATGACTTTGGATTTCACACAGTAAAGAACATCACAGTTCAGACACATGAGCACTAAAAAAACCCACAGCTCTTCCGCTTCTGCCCAGTGCAAACACTACCTTGTGCTTCATTTCAGGACTATAATGAAACAAGCATTGCTGCACTAGCAGTGGAATTGATGCCTCATGGGGAAGCGCTGCCCATGCCAAGAGCAAGAGAGCCGCGTTTGTGCCTCACGTGGCGTTTCACGTGCCGTCTTGCTCGGTGTGTCCTGTCCCTCCAGGAAGGTGAGGGGCGTTTTACCCTTGTGGAAGAAAGGGAGAGCAAAGTCTACTGAGGAAAATGCAGCATTTTAAACCCCATCGTGTGATGACTGTCTGGAAACACGTTGTTGCTTTTTAAGGGAGAATCATCACTTAYAAACTATTAAACTCTTAAAAGCAGGAGTTATTTGCCTACTGAATTCAGAGAGAAAGGCCATGTGTTAACTATCATCTGCTGAGAGCACCCAGAACCAGCACCCTTGAGTTTGTAATTGCTTTTTCATATGCATACATACATATAGCAGCATAGTAAATRTATATATACAGACTGTACATATACAGACTGTTTTAGGTCATTTGACGTGGAATACCATATTATATTTCTTTCTCTTTGGAATCACTTACTCTTTTTTTCCTAACAGCCATGCGTGAAGCATTTCCTTGCAATGGGAGCCAGGGACTACAAACTGCAAGTTGTGCAATGACCACAAGACTCCAAGCCTCAGCACAACAATAAAATGCAAGCAAACACACATATAAATAAATAGCAATAGATGCAGCAGTGCTGAATGCTGCAGGAATGCTGCTCAATTTTGCTGCTGAGAGCAGTGGCACCCTATGCAGTTCTTATGTTTCAGTGTAGGGAACACAGATTATGGCTGAGGTTATTGAACAGCACCTAAGTTTGCTGGGTTCAAAATTATTTAAGCATAACATGAAAAAAAGATGTGTTCAGACTCAGACRCTCAATATGAGCTTGCCTGCCTTTGACCTTGAAAAGATGGATCAATCTATCCAATTACACTATAGTGGGAAATGTTAGAGTTTATGTACAGAGTAATCAGCCAGGGGATTAGATATGCTGCTATTTGTTGCTCACTGTGTGTGCAGGGAGCTCACTGATAGAGTACTCGCATATGGCAAAAAAATACAATAAGGAAAAGGAGTAGCAGCAAGAGATTGATAACAAATGCCAATCACATGGAAAAAGGCTAGGAGAAGGAGATTAACAATATATCCTAATGTAATTTTCATTCCTCTTATTAAAATTAGCATTCAATAGAATGCACTACAAAGTGCAGACTTGTATAAAATATGGTTAGATGAAGTAAAAATGGGAACTGTACAATTTTGGAAAAGCATACAGTATGCACTTTCAAAGAATTAATGAAATTAGAATTTAGAGCTCAGCTGAAGGAAAAATGGATGCTTGAAGCTAAACTCTTAAATTCATAGTCTCTTAAATCAAAGTTCATATTTTCTATACTGCTACACAGGCAAGTTTTCAAGTAGCAAAGAAAAATTATGCAAAGAAGAATATTTAATCATTTAATCAAAATAACGTATCTACCTATCTTATGCATGCTGCTTTGCAGGATGTGGGAAAGCAGATAAAATGGATATAAAGATGGATAAAATACATATAATGGATATAAGATATAAAATGGATACAAGAGTTCAGAAAGTGGCAGTCAGTGGCGCGGAGTCCAGTTGGAGACCTGTAGTTAGCGGTGTTCCCCAGGGGTCGGTCCTCGGTCCGGTCCTGTTCAACTTATTCATTAATGACCTGGATGAAGGGCTGGAGTGCTCCCTCAGCAAGTTCGCTGATGATATCAAACTGGGAAGAGTAGCTGATAGCCCTGAGGGGTGTGCTGCCATCCAGAGGGACTTGAATAAACTGGAGGACTGGGCGGTGAGAAACCTCATGAGGTTCAACAAGGGCAAGTGCAGGGTCCTGCACTTGGGGAGGAATAACCCTGGACACCAGTACAGATTAGGCGTGGACCTGCTGGAGAGCAGCCCCACAGAGAGGGACCTTGGCATCTTGGTGGATGACAAGTTGACCATGAGGCAGCAGTGTGCCCTGGTGGCCAAGAAGGCCAATGGGATCCTGGGGTGCATTAAGAAGAGTGTCTCCAGCAGGTCGAGAGAGGTGATTGTCCCCCTCTACTCAGCCCTGGTGAGGCCACATCTGGAGACTGTGACCGGTTCTGGGCTCCCCAGGACAAGAGGGATGTGGAGCTGCTGGAGAGAGTCCAGCGCAGGGCTACGAGGATGATCAGGGGCCTGGAACATCTGCCCTGTGAGCAAAGGYTGAGGGAGCTGGGCCTGTTCAGCCTGGAGAAGAGGAGGCTGAGGGGGGACCTGATCAGCGTGTATAAATACCTCAAGGGAGGCAGTGAGGAGGAGGGGGCGGCCTCTTTTCAGTGGTGGACAGTGATAGGACTAGAGGAAATGGCTTCAAACTGAAGCATCGGAAGTTCCACAGGAACTTAAGGAAGCATTTCTTCACTGTGAGGGTGACAAAGCACTGGCACAGGCTGCCCAGAGAGGTTGTGGAGTCTCCTTCTTTGGAGATCTTTAAAACCCGCCTGGACGCAGCCCTGTGCCACGTGCTCTAGGTGACCCTGCATGAGCAGGAGGGTTGGACTCGATGACCTCTGAGGTCCCTTCCAACCTTGAGGATTCTGTGATTCTAAAAACAGTTGGCGCAATGTTAGCATAGGAGATTAGTAAGGAAAATACACCGTTCATTCTAGTTTTGATTCCATTAAAAAAACTCAACTCCCATTTAAGAAGTCACAAAAAAATTCTCTAATCTCTTCTTTCACATCTCATACTTCAGGATACCAATTTACAAATAGTCATTGAAGATGGAGAACCATCCTCCTCAAAGGTCTGTGTAGCCAGGCCTGTTTTACTGCACAGCTTTGTCTCTTTACTAGTCAAATCTGCTTATTTTTCCTCTTAACTTTTGAACTCCCTTTATTACAGTAAGGCATGACAGTTTGGAGGGAATAAACTAAATTCTACTCCATCTCATGTACCACCAATCCCAGTGTTCATTAAATTTACATTAGCCACATCTGTGCAGATCAACCAAAAGCAGTTAGATTGTATTTATGACAGAAAAATCATTTTAATACCTGAAAGCATAATTGGAAGGTACTGAGGCTAAAGGCACCACTTAAGAAATAATTTGGCCTGCAGATTCCTCCTGATGATGTGCAAGAAGACAAGAAAAGAGTCTGCTTGTCAGTCTCAGCATCATTTGCAGAGCTGACAATTAGTGAAATGATCATCATTKCGGGTATAAGACAAATGCACCTGCCACTAAAGTCAATGAGGTATCGATACCTAGGCTGAATAAGCAATGCATGATAGCACTGCACCAAGAGCAAGGCAGAAAGTGAAAGTGGTTTCACTGCCTCCCCAGCAAAGACAGGGATCTAATACCCTTGTTGTGGTTGATTTCTACCCCATCCTCCTCCTCTGTGTTGCTTTGGCTGCCATCTGCAGAGGGAAGGGACCTTAGCAAATCTCCCTGCTAGCTTTCAGCTAAAGCAGCTCTCAACATCCCTCTTTCACTAGAGGAGGCAGCAACATGCAGCTATTGTAGGCACCTGTTCCCTGGTGCTCTCATGCTCCTCCCTACCTTACTGATACCAAGGGTGAGCTGGGTGTCAAACTGAGCCTCGAAAGATAATTGTAGAACCACAGCACCATATACGAGTCATTTTTCAGAAAAGAACTGTTTCTTTTGAGATGAAAGTCAATGAAATTTAAGAAAGACAGAATGACATCTGCATAATGCATGAACAAAACTGTCCTTCTAAACAAGAAACTGTCGAGAGGGTCTGGGAAGCATGTCTGCTCTGTGTCTAAGTGTTAATGCCCTGAGCTTAGGGCACTCAAATGAGTGGAATTATCTGTGGAAAGTCTGGAAAAACATTCTTTTCTCCTATTCTGTATATGGAGGCTTGCAAGCCCTGTTTTAGGGCAAGCTGAGAGCAGAGGGTGGGTTGGACGGTTGGAACACCACACACCCAACCCAGGTGGAGGTTAGGGCTCAGCCTTCCCCTCTGAAAGCCCTGGGCTAAGCCAGGCTTTCTGCTAAAGGTCCCTGGGTTTGCGAACGCTGTTTGTGGGAGTCATCACTCCCATTCAGGGGTCAGGAAATGTCTAGATAATTACTGCAAGATCACAGAATGCCTCTAACCACGGCCATCAGCTCCAGGTCGCCTGGTGTGTGCCTGGAATGCTCAGGACAGGGCCACAGAGACAGACTAGCAGGGCCACTGGAAGTAGCTCAGTTCTGCTAATGCTGCTTTATCCCTTACTACAGTCAACTTGGACATTTCTATGTGATGCTGCCTTATCCAGTGGAGACACACCCAACTTTTGACCATGCACCGCTGGTTATCACAACTGTACCTCAGTTTTATGGATTTATCCTTTGAGCCTTTTGTATATGTGACATGTTAAATGCTTCAAGCACTTACCGTGTTGTTTACTTGAGAATTATCTTATCAAAAGGACCATGCCACAAAATAAAGGAGATTTAGCAAATAAATCCTTTACGAAAGAGCTAGCACAATGCTACATCAGAAACTGGTATTTTCCAGGACCTGGAAAATTTTGAAAACAGATTTTAATCGTCCTTTTCAAATAATAGCATTTTATATATAAATAGATATTTTATCCGTAAACCTTCAAAGCCTACAGCCTACAAATTATGCTGTTAGTTCCCCGTTTTTAGAGTTAAAAGGTATGGTTGCTTTATGACCAAAATATGAATGTCAGTGAGTAATAGAATTGTTTTAATAACTGAAAGTTTGTTTTTACAAAGTTTCTAGACATAAGCAAGTTGATCAAGTAATAAAAATCTCTTCTCAGCCAGAATTTTGTGCCCCTAGCTTTCTGGGATTCAGTTTTGTTCTAAAGCCAATTTAAATTACTCAAAGATAACACACAATCATCTCCTAAAAATTATGAAAAAAATCTAACTAATTTTAATTATCACAGCTATATGAGAGGGATTAACTCTCTTTCGAAAAAGGAGGATATGCTAGAGTGCCTAATTATATCTCCTCTGATTGGATATATCTTTCCCTTCCTTCCTTTTTATGATTCTGTTTTAGAGAAGTAGGCTTTTATTTCTATGTGTTGAGATAGTACTTGTCATGTAATTATAWTTTTCATTTAAATCTAGAGAAACAGGAGTGTATGTCATATCAATTTATAAAACTCTTCAGTATTTYCAAGTTTTTTGTATCAAAGTGTTATGTATTTAAGATACATACTCATAATTAAAATGCATTTAAGTGACAATGATTACACACCCTGTATTGTTGCTCAGAAATATAATTTTAAAAGTCATTAAGTCAAGAAACACTTGGCTATTTACAGGGACATCRTAATTATACAGAATCCTATTGTTTGAATTCACAATAGAAAAAGAAATCTCCCTTTTTTTACAGGATTCTGTGTAAAAGACACAAACTCATCTCACTTTTTAAATAAGGTGAATTAAGTGAATAAGGCAGGCGTGGGTGAAAGCCACTGCAGACAGTGATGCTGTTCAGACTTACGGGTACATGCCATGGTCGGAGGGTCCTTCTCGGCTCGGAAGTACCCTTTCTCACACTGGCAGACGGACGTGGCTTCCACATGGGTGAGGCTGTGCGGTGGGCACTTGGAACACTTCACATTCCCAGCAAATGCCTTATAGAACCCGGGCCTGCAGGCTGCAAAACAAGAGAACCGAGTTACGTTGACAGCAGCAAGTCTTGTCACAAGTAAGGTCTGTCCTGCGTATTTATGACGCATCCTCTTTCCTTTCCAGGATTTATAGGCAGTCATCACTGTGTCTTGAATTTGTCAACTAGAAAACTTTATATCACATTAATAAGACATCAATATCACTAAACACAAGCACGCTGTGTATGGCTTATGTTGAATCCATCTGTCAATAAGGCAAAATGGACGCAATAGTTTATTATATCCTACGGTTATTTACAGGGCCTCCATATTTAAGCAATGGAGACTGGCAATGTGTTGATGTGTGAAGTCCCACAGTACCTTGACGAGGGCTGGGACCTTATTGCTGTACTTATTGGTGGGTGTGACCTGCCCACAGTCCTGCGGGAAAGCTCTGACAGGAGGGACACAGCAGTTGGGTTCTCTACACCTGCTGGCATCACCACTGTTGAAGACGTAAGAAGGAGGTTCTGCTACTGTGCAGCACAGATTCATGCAAGCCTGAAGCTGCTACAATTTGTGCCAGGAAATAGCCAAGAAACAGCCTGGACAGCAGCTGTCCTGGACACGGATATCAGATGGACATGGTCAGAGCCATGTACTGGTTACTTGGTACAGAAGTCCCTGTGGCTCCGGACAAGAGTACAACCTTTCTAACAGCCTTACAAAGCAAAAACACTTCCTTCGTTAAAATAAACCCCATCATAAATCTATCAGATTTGCATTATGGAATATCATTTTAAAATCGTCTTCAGACTTCATCACACATGTTTAGACTGAAATTTCTCTCTTCCTTTCTTCTGCCAGCTACCACATTTATAAAGGCCAATATGTGTACCCCATTATCCACTGGTTTATAATAGTTACTATCTTACGACTTCGTAGCCAGAAAACAGAACTGAAACAAATGACAGAGCAGCTAAAACATGCATAGACTGTACAGACTCCCCCAGTAGCACGATGGGAGCCATTGCTATAAATACCATTTTGAAGATTCATGTACTGTTTCTGATTTTGACATATTCAAAATCTTCTTCAACATCTTCTTTATAATGCTACAGGAACCAGGTGGTATTTTCTTTTCTTGCCACAGGCCAAAATAACAATATTAAAATAAGGTCTTCTATAAAAAAGACTACCAAAGTATATGCAGTTTTACAAATTCACTGTCAGTTCATATTAAGTTACTTATTAAAAAGTATTAACTTATAGATAACATATCTACACATCAGTTCTGCTTCCCAATTCCAAAGGACTTAAAACAAAGGCAGTTTCATTAGCAGCTGACGGCAGAGTGAGAAGATGGGACTGGGAAAGACAGCAGTTAATTACCTATCAGAATCCAGGAGCCAATTTTTCAGATGTAATTTTAAGAGCTTAGCTTTGACCCAACAATTTCAGCAGCTCTCCCAGCGTGCTGCTCTGACTTTGCTGAATAGGCTGTAGGGAGGAATCCTGCCCTGCTGTCACCGAAGAAAAAAMCTCAAGTATTTCTGGTGTCAGAGATAAGACGGGTGGGAACTGCAGGGGTTTTCCATTAGAAAAAAGACTACCAGTTGGATACAATTGTGATTATAGTCGGTGGCAATTTTCCACTGATTGGAATGACAGCAGGTTTGGTTCAAGGAAGAAGGCAGCACTGGAGGTGCAGACCACAGGCACTGACTTGACTCTGATCTCCTGGAAGGGAGACATGAGGCAAGGGGAAATAGGCAAGGAGCTTTATGCAGGTCTGCTTCTCCTCATGCTCAAATCTGCCACAGCTTATCAAAAGGTGAACATTTAATTCTTGCCTTTTAATCACTACTTTTCATACACATGATGCTATATATAAAAAAATGTCTGTGATTAAAGAACCGGAAATTCCAAGTTACATTTTTGGTCAAAGCAAAACAAATATTTGTTTTTTAATCCAAGAGCCTATAACTAATTTTGTACAAGTCAAGTACATCTTTACACCAGTCACAACTGTAACAGATGTCAGCTGCAAAGACAAGAACAAGCAGGTCCTCTCCATTCCTTTCTTATCCTTTACCACATCTCCCTAAGACTGGGTATTATTTTGCCTTCGGTATCTCCAGGGAAGCTTAAGGCTATAGAAGTTCACCGTCAAACATAGTTTATAGGAGTTCCTATTAAAATTCACATGAAAATTGTACAAAGGTGCTAATTGTACATGAATTTCACTGTAATACCAGATCTGTATTGTATATGAATTCCACTGTAATACCAGATGTGTGCATAACTTTTGGAAAACTTCAGTTTGTATATGTTCTGGTATGAGACCAGAAATTGCATTACTGCATGTAAATCACGATATGAGGCTTCAGGTAATCAGACCAAATCATCTACAAGCACTAGATGCTGCATTCAATTTCTAGAGACATAAAAATCATATGCTATCTAAAAGTAGGATTAGGCTATGACTCTGTAAAAGGATGAATCAATAGGCTTACTCATAACCTTAATGTTAGCCAGATGAATCAGCATCTTCGATATTGCCTGAATTTATATTATATCCATTGTTTGCTGCCCTGTGGGTGTTCCAGCCACACAGAAGTAGCTAATGCACAGCTGCCTGATGGGCACATGAGAAATTTGGAAGCTTTTAACCGGGTGAATATTTGTCTTTGGAAAATGAAGGCGGGGGAGGGGAGGGGAAAAAAAAAAAAGTGTTTCTATGCTATTATACTCCTTGTAAAATACAAGCTAAAAGTCACTGTCACCCACCCAGAGGTTGCCTCCCTCTGCAGACGGTAGCCTGAAGCCACCCCCATCTCTGGAGCCAACTTTCAGAGAGCATTAAGCTGCTCACAGACCACACGTTTTGGACTAAACTCACCTACTGGGTATCAGGGCACTGCAGAGAAAACAGCATGGTACACATGTGAGAAGGATTTTGTGAGCAGTATGTGCTGTATGTGTATGTGGCAGAAGATTTTCACTGCACTCAAAGCAACACTTTGACTAGCAACTAGGCTTACACTGACCCATACACACAAGCTTATAAGGAAGCCAGAACATTTACTGTGGAGCTATTTATGCAACCTCTGTATATTTAGTCATAGAAAAAACATTGTATCTATCTGTCATACTGGATTAAATAACTGATCCATCTAAGTTAATAACTACTTCTGGAAAGCTGAAGAGAGAGGCATGATTGCAACTTTTAAACATCCAGCCTCTCCTTCCCCTCTGTGGCAGAAAGGAAAACTCTAGGTGCAGGAAGGCTGCAGAGGCACCAGTCATCCCCTCAGGCCTCGGAAAGCTGCCGTGCAGCAAAGTTGGAGAAGGACAGGACTGCAGGAAGAGCCCCAGGAGAGCCTCACGCCAGGCYGGCAGCGTTACCCCCCCTCAGGCCTTGCACATCTGCTGCTGGTGGCACCACAGCTACCCAGAGGACACGACAGCCATCTTGTCCTAAAAGGCCTTGCGCCTCTCTGCCCGCCTTGAGAGGCTGGCGGAGGGGTGGCCATTATGGTGGTTGGGGCGTTAGGGTGCGGTTGTTGGGGTTTGGCCATTGGGGCTGTTGGGGCACAGTCCACAGGTGTGGGACGAGCGCTCTCCAGGTCCTCTCGGCACCTCTCCTTCCCCAAGCCCTGCTCTGGCACCCTCGGGAAGGCCCCGGAAATCCCGGCGGTACCTAAAAGCAAAGTAAAACCCCAACGCTGATTTKTTGGTGTTGCACGTGTGGGCACACACAGAGCATAAACTTCATGGGTTCTCATTGCCAGGCCTTACCCTGGCAGCCTTGGCAGGCACAGAGGCTGCCAGAAATGATCCTACAGACAAAGGTGTTTTAAATTTTCTCTAAAGCATCCTGTGATTCAGTGACTTGGTACAGGTGGATACATCAGTGTTTCCAAACTGTTTCTGATTACAACATTTTCTTGGCTCARTGAATAATTATGGCATCACTCATCTTCACAAGCTGTTTCTGAATAAATCGGTGTCAAGTAAAACTTAGCTGTCTGAAAAACACCTCAACTATTCAAAAAAAAAAAAAAAAAGATTTTGGTTTTGTCTTTGCTAACACGCAGCAGTCTTTCTAACTGCTACATCACCAGCAGACATCTTATTTTCTCCAACTTTATCTAACAGAAGTGACTTTGTGAGTCGCTAATTATGGCATCACTCATCTTCACAAGCTGTTTCTGAATAAATCGGTGTCAAGTAAAACTTAGCTGTCTGAAAAACACCTCAACTATTCAAAAAAAAAAAAAAAAGATTTTGGTTTTGTCTTTGCTAACACGCAGTCTTTTTTCTAACTGCTACATCACCAGCAGACATCTTATTTTCTCCAACTTTATCTAACAGAAGTGACTTTGTGAGTCGCTAATTGTATGAACAGTATGAGATTTGACTTTTGTAAAGCCTGGGGGAGGATAATATATTGTCTTAATGGTTAAGTAATTAGCAGAATATTTGAACAAACAATTCAAAGACACTAAAGTTTTCTCCAGTGAAATACCAGCGATTATGCAGAGAAATGCTGATAATTTAATTTGCTTCATAAATGATAACGCGTCTACAAATGTCCTCCACTGTAACTCTATCAGGATTTGACTGTAATGCTTTAACGCTATGGAAACTGTGTAATTAACATAATTATATATTTAATATAGGACTTTTAATTTTGCTTGCACCAAAACAGGAATATGCCTGTGTGAGCTGGTCTCAGGCTGCTGGGCCCCTGTCCATGGTGGTCCATAGGCCRTGGACCAATGCTCCATGGTGGACCGCGTGGTCCCTCGCCAGCCCCRACCCATGGGCTCCCATCTGGATGGGTCTCCTTGCATCCCATCAACAGCGCCCAAGGCCCCAGGCTGCAGCAGTCCCAGGCGCCCGTGCCCTGTGCCCTCATGGGACTGGGATCATTCAGGCCTTGCCACATGGACCATTGGATTCCTGTCGAGAAGGGGTATCACTTCTAAGAACCTTTTTTGAATTGCCCATTCCAGTAAATAAGGTCACGAGTAAATTAGTA